AAGAATAAAAAAAAATTCTGAGGCTACAGTAAAAATTGTCAAAGATATAAAAACATATAAAAGAAACTTTCTGGCTGGAAAATGCTCAATTTAAATATACTATATCTAGGCCGCAAAGAAATAATCCTATGAGAATTTGCAAATAGATCAAACTAGAAACTTTATATTTTATAAAAAAGGAACCCTAAACAGCTACAGAAATTAAATATGGAACCAGAAACACAGAATAGGCTGAGCTGGAAGGGACCCACAAGGATCATCGAGTCCAACCCTTAGTCCTGTACAGGACCATCCCCCAGAATCACACCATGTGCCTGAGAGTATCATCCAAACGCTTCTTGAACTCTGTCAGGCTTGGTGCTGTGACCACTTCCCTGGGGAGCCTGTTCCAGTGCCCAACCACCCTCTGGGTGAAGAACCTTTTTCTAATATGTAATTTAAACCTCCCCTAACACAACCCCAGGCTTTACAGGATTGGTAAAACTACAATGAAGGAATGTAGCTCACCTGGAATTGTTTCCCACTGAATGGAAGCTCTTTTCATCGAAATCACCTTAAATAAGCACAACTGTAACAAAATGTCCATAACATACCTCTATACCTAACTCTGAAAGCAAAAAGAAATTTTTATTTCTTTCTGCTGGTAAAGAAAGGAGTATAGGGGGTGTGGAATGGTTATTTGACAGTTGTTTGCAATCAAATAATGAATTTAGGAAGTTATAACAGCTGTCCATACCATCAGATGGGAAATTTTTGAAAAGTAGTGACTCAGAGATACATTAAGAATTTTTGTGTACAATAGTTATGCCCCATCAGAAGGGATGAATACCCTCAAGCCTACGTGTGAATGTCCCCGTACTTCCCTGGGGAGGGGGATTTTATGGCTGAGCCAGTTATGTAAGTGATGACATTGGCATGAAATAGCAAAAAGCACTATCCCACCTAGCAGGATCTACTTCTTATCAGCCTTTTCCTTATCTGACTCAGAACCCGGCTTGTTGCTAAACACAGCTTGGTCTGTTGTGGTCATCCTCTGGTGATCTGTGCTCACTCCTCTGTCTTATGCAGATCAGAGGTTTTGCAACCACACCAAAAGCTCTCCTCCTCCCCTTTGGCTGAGAGTGTGTGCAAACCTGGCCTCAGCAAAGCACCTGCTGCTTTTGCAAATGGTCAATTGTTTGAGTCATTAATCCCTAATGTTTCACTCTCTCACAACATCCCATCAATAGGTCAAGTTTCATCAGTTTCATTCCACTTGACCTATCATATCTGGCTGTTCTTGAGTTGCATCCAGAAGCTTATGACCAGAAGGGAAAAAGGATTGCTTCATCCAAAGCATTAGTTTATAGAAATTTAAGAAATGTAACCAAATTGTTTTGCAGCACTGGAGTTTTTGGGTTGGATTTGTTTTTGGGGTTTTTGTTTGCCTTTTTTTGCTTGTTTGTTTTTGTTTGTCTGTGGTTTTCTTTTTTTTTTTTTTTCCCCGTGGTTCAGCCAGGTCTTGCTTATCCTCAAACTTACACAGTCTAAAAACATGCAATTCCCAGTTTTTCTCATTTCCTCAGATCTCAGTGGGTTTGGGATGCTTTTGTGAGAACCAGCATTTTTTATTTTTAGTTTATCATTGAGACCTTTCAAGTGCCATTGCACTGACAACGGGAATTGAGCAAATGTTGAACTATGATTGCATTTTGTCCAAAATTCCTTATTTGAATGACCAAACTCCAATCTTGAGGGTTGCAAGTCTTTGGCAGTCATTGACAAATTGATACCATAACAATCAAATAAACATAGGCAGAACATAATGACAAAGATAAAGCAGCTTCCTTACATCCTCCCCACCCCTGCCATTTGCTGCATATTGCACTAGAGACAGTAACAAGTATGAGAAATGGAACTGTGCTGCTTTGTATCTTTTTGCCAGATCTTTTAAAACTGAAGCGGCTTTGACATTTCTAATGGAAATTTCAGTTGCTCCAGAATATGATGATGGTAGTTCTGCTCTTGGCAATCCTGTTTCAGCCAAGTCAGAGAAGACTGGAAACCCCATTGAAATATGATACTGGGGCACTATTCCATTTTGAGTATCATATGAAAGCAATGGTCTGACTTCATTTTTTAAAAAAATTGAATAGAGGTTTCACAAGAATGAAGTATTACTGTTTTGTCTTCTGTTCAAACCTGAGCATTATGCTGTCTGAGTTCTCCAATAGTTTACATAGTTACTATTCTCTAACAGTCACTTCATAGATCTTACAGTCACAGGTATTCGATCATTTGTACAGCAAGACTGATTTTTTGAGATAATATTTGGGGATTTGATTTCTATTAGTTTATTTTCCTTAATACTTTTTGGGGAAAAAAAAAAGGAAACTGGAGCAAATTTCTGTGCAATTGTTCAGAATGCCTTAACTCTCACTGCAAGTCTGTACAAGGATTATTTTCAAAACAAAAGATCTAAGACTGTGCTGGTTTTAGCTGACATAGAGTTAATTTTCTTCATGGTGGCTAGTATGAGGTTGTGTTTCAGATTTGTGCTGAAAACTGTGTGGTTAACACAGAGATGTTTCTCTTACTGCTGAGTGGTGCTTACACACAGAAGCAATGCCTTTTCTAGTACTGCCATATTGGTGAGGGGGCTGGGAAGTTGGGAGGAGACATAGCCAGGACAGCTGACCCCAACTGACCAAAAGCATATCCCGTCTCTTATGACATCATGTTCAGTATAGAAAGGGAGGGAGGGGTGGGGGTGGTAGGGGGCTTAAGAAGGAGGAAGTCTGCCCATGGGAAGTGGGGAAATAATTCCTTGGCTTACTTCACTTGTGTGCATGGTTTTTGTGTTACCTATTGAACTGTCTTTATCTCGACACATCAATTTTCTAAATTTTACCCTTCTGATTCTTTCCCTGATCCTGCTGGTAGGGGAGTGAACAAGTGGCCGAGTGAGGCCAAATTGCTGGCTGGGTTTAAACCACAACAAAGACCCTGGCTATACATACCTACTTCTAAAGAGGATCTTCTACTCTGTCTCACACAATAGTGTGCAGTTGTAGAAGACACAGACCTTTTTCCTGCTAAAGTCTCAGAAGTACTCATTCCTTCTTTTCCTTTCTCTGCACCATCAATTTTTTTTTTAGTCGTGTGGAACAAATTTATCACTTCTGTGCTGAAGCCAAACTTATTGCTACTTCATTACTCAAGCAGTAAAATTACCATGCAGCTATTGCAATGTGGGCAATGTGAGTTGGGTTTCCTTCTTTTCTTGCAATACAGCTCATCATTTACAGCCTATGAACATGTATGAGGAAGATCACGGGTTGAAAAATTACTCTATGCTTTCAGTGGAGTTTGTCAGGGTAGACCATGCTTGGTTATGTCTTCATGGTTTTCTTTGAAAACAAAGAGATGGAATTGCTTTTATACTTTTTAAAATGAAAGATAGGACTTGAAACAATTTTTGCAATGAATCTTAAGCCTCTTAATTAGCTAAATTTTGCTTTGACTATGGTGGTGCTGTGGTGATTATTCTTTGACTCAATGATACACTGAGTTTGAACTGTAAAACAGATAGTGCATATGTAAAGAAAATGTTACAAGTCTGAGCACTTATAGTATAATTAATTTGACAGCGACTTACCTCAGAACAGCCTTAAATATGACAACCTACATTTCATTGTGAAATCTAACCCTGTATCACTGAAGTTTTTTATACATCCTGATTTCTCTATGCCTTTGCAGTATTTTCAGAATTATTTCCTCTCTACATATTGATTGTCTAACACATACTGTTTTCAGTAAGTTGTCAACATTTTAGAGCTAGTGGAAATAATTCCTGCAGATCTGAGGGGGATTGGCCTAGCAAAAGTCTAGTTCAGGCTATTATCCTTGAGAGCTGTCAAAAGTAATAATGGCATGCAAACCACTGAATATAATTGTTCTTAATATTTTCATAATCTGAAGTCTCTACAAAGGCTTGCACCACATTCGTATTAAACCACAATAGCAGATGGACCATCTGCAACCGTTTGCATAGCTGCAGTACTGTAATCCTTCTTAACATGACAAAGCTTTACTGACTTTCTCTGGTGAGTGTGAGTACATGTGGCTCAGATGTACAAAGCTATTTAGGACTGTAGCCTGTGTTTCAGTCCTCGATTCCCACCAATTGCTAGAGGAACTAGCTACCTAAATGTATCAAAGGACCTGTGTCTGCAGTCCTTGAGGGGTCATTTCAAAAGGGCTTCCAGTAATTTCTCATAGTCCAGAGGTTCACTATAGTACTTTAAGACAGCTTCTGCATAAAGCAAGGGGATAAAGAAACATGTATTTCTTTGACATGAAGCTGCTCTTTGCAATCTGTAGCTGGCTTAGGTCAGCATAGTTGGGTTTATTATTCCTGAAGACTTGTGCAAGACTCCAGCAATGTGATCATGCTACATAATGAAAGGTTTCAGCTTGCCTCCCTTAACTATAGACTACAGGTAAGGATACACAGCCATTTGTTTATCATGTCCTTCGAGATTTCAGTATCACCATCAAAAATTTGCGTCCCTAGGGTCTTGCTCTCTTAAGAACTGAGAATACATTTGCTTTGAATGTACTCTGAAAGTCTGTGAACAGAGTGTACCTGAGGCAGTGCAGAATGTCATTATTTTGTTCTTCAGTACAGTTAATATTTTGCCACAAAAATGTCAAGTATGCACAGTTTTTCACTCAACCTGAAAATGGGAAGCTTCCCACTTAGATTGTAAGCTGTATTTCCTCAGCACCTAACTATATTAATTTACAAGAACTCCATTAAGTTTCTGAAATATAAAATAAGCAACAACTGTAATTATCGTGACTAAACAAGACTGGTTCCTTTAGCTGAGAATCGCTTGTACTGAAATGATGGCAACTTTTTTCAATGTGACTGTAGCATTACCACAGGAAAAAAAACCTCAGATGTCATAGATCGTATTTGGTACCAGTAAGATACCATTTTATTTCTTCTTGTCTTAATTAAGCTTGATTCTGCAAATGGAGTCTCTCACTATGGAATATGAAGCTTTTGTCGAGAAATAGTATTTGGTTGAAGACAGATTTCATAAATCTTGCCACTGCTAGCAGAAAAAGATACATATCGGTAATAACAGCTTATTTCACCTGGAAAAAAAATCCTTCACCATTATATATAAGAAGTACCATCTTTTACAGAAGAACCACATGCACTCTGACTTACTTTCCATCAAATAATTGAGGTCCTGTAGCTACGAACTTTTTTGTTGTTATTCAGGTTTATCTGACATTAGCAAAATTTGTTTCTGTTTTAGGTATTTGTTGATCAGCATGTGACTATTCCATATTTCTTTCGCTGTCCAGAAGGGTGGATATCTCAGGGTACTTCAGGGATCTATTCTTTATCTGTCCATTTCTTTTAAACTGGACAGAAAACATGTCTGCTTATCCTGAAACTCCAAGGTAATAAAGGTGCTCCAAGCTTCTCAGAGCTTGCAGATAATTGGATTTGACCCAGATTCTGGTCTTCAGCATGATGATTGATGCTCTATTGTCTGGGTCTCATCATACTCTCATGACCTGTGCATCCAAAATTTGTTTGACCTTAAGCATGCTTACCGTGCCAGGTCCTACAGGCTGGGAGCATCTTGGTTCCTGCTGACAAAGATGTTTACCAAGGAACTGCAGATTTCTATTATTGTGTAGAAGTGGTGCCACCTACAGTACACGGTCAGACAACCATCCTTCTTCCTGACCCCTCTGCTGCCTTCTGAGAAATCCTGTGACAACCTTCAAAAATTAATATGAGTTGAATTCCCTCTCACACAGGCCATTTAATAACCTGGGCATTCCAGCTAAATTGGTGTTTTTGTTTCCCTTGTTGTCAGTGTGGAGAACTGATGGAATAAAAAACCTCCAGAAAGAGATTAGTGAGGAATGTTAATCATATTGAGGAAGTGTCTGTATCAGCCCATTGACTGTAGAAGGAGTGCAAATAATTGCTTAACCTAGCCACAGCTATTAGAGCACTGAGATTACACAAGATAACTTCCATCCTTACTTAGAGATCCCATTTTGCTCACTATTTTCTGCTCCCTTTGTTATGACTAATTTGTTTAATTAAACCTAAAAATTTGTGGGAGTGGAATCTTACTCTACTGAAAGTAGCTGAGAGGGACTTCATTTTCCACATAGCAGCCCTCGCAGTGCTGTGCTCTGCATTAGTATCCAGAAAGGTGTTGATAACACACCAGTGTTTTGGCTACTGCTGAGCACAGCATCAGCACAATCTTTCTAACATTCCACCCCCTCCGTCGATAGGCTGGGGGTGGGCAAGATCTTGGAAGAGGAAACAACTAGGACAGCTGACCCAAATCAACCAAAGGGATATTCCATACCATATGAGGTCTGTTCAGATACAAAAGTAAAGAAAGGGAGGAGGAATGGGGGAATTTGTTATTTACAATATTTGCCTTCCAGAGCAACTGCTGAAGCCCTCCTTCCCTGGAAGTGGCCAGACACTGCTTGCTGATGAGAAGTAAAGGAAAAAGTCTTTGGATTTTTCTCTTTGCTTGTGTGTGCGCGCAAGGTTTTTTCTTTTGCTTTGGTAAACTGTTTTATCTAAACCTACAAGTTTTTTTCCATCTTATTTTCTCTCTCCTGTTCAGCTGAGAAGGGAGAGTGATAAATTGTCTTGGGGGGCACCTGATGTCTGGTCAAGGTCAACCCACCATGGCAACTACAAGGGGTCTGCCATGGGACTAGTTTAACATTTTCATCAATGACCTAGATGGGGCAATTAATCTATTTAAGTCATGCAGAGGTATCCAGACAGGTTGAAGCAATGGATCTAGGTTAAAGTCATGTCATTCGGTGAAGATAAATGGAAAATACTACAGTTGGAAAGGAAGAGGTCCTTGTAAGAATCCATACTAGGGCTTACCAGCTGTGGAGCAGCTGTGTGGGAAAGGCCCCGGGGGTCTTGGTAGCCAGTGACCTGAGCTGCCAACAGCATTTGGGGATGTACTAACAAGATCATGGCCAGTTGACTGAGGGAAGGGATTATTCACAGTTTTGGCTTCCCAGCATGGGCAAGATGCTGGTTGACCAGCTCTTCTAGCAGAAGAGCTCTGTGTCTGGAGTAGCTGCCCTGTGAGGAAGGACTAACAGAGCCTGGCTTGTTTAGCCAGGGATCTAACAGCAGCCTGCCAGTACTAAAGTACTGAAGACAGTTCTAGACTTTTCTCCATGGTGCATGTGGGAAGTTGAGAGACAGCAGACATAACTTTAAACCAGAGAGATTTAGACTGATTACAAAGAAAAGCCCTTTCCCCATAAGGAAGGCACAACACAGGAGCAGGCTATGCAGAGAGGTTACTGAGTCTCCACTCTTGGATGATTTGAAAATCCAGATGCAAAAATTCCTGAGCAAATTAAGGTCAATTAGCTGATCCTGTTGTGAGAGGAGGTTGGACTGGAGACCTCCTGAGGTCCCTGCACACACGAATTATCAATGATCTCATGAAATTGCTGTATTGAGCCTTTAATGAATGCATATCTACCAAGCCATGTTACCCTCTTTCATGTGGAAAAAGACAAAACAAGTGTGACATTGATGCTTTCATCTGCTCTGCTGAAACAACATTTATACAATACCTTTCTTTGTTGTTACAATAGCAATCCATTTTAACTATGGATAAGGGAGATGTTTGTTTGTTGGACAACACCTTTCATAGGACACACACAAATGTTCTGAATGTTCAGAGCTTCCTATTTACCCTTCAAATGTGCTTCTAAAGCCTGAAAAATGAGAACATTTGGTACAGAAAAATGAGAAGAATGCAAAAAGCAGTGTCTCAAGAAAGAGAATCACACTGTGCTTACCTTAGGAAGATGCCAGTATATGAACAATGACTTCGGAAAAATAGTTCAGGTCATACTGAACGCTGTGATAAAGCTGAGACAATAGGACAGAAAATGGAGGAACTTTAAATTGAAGAGTCCTGGAGATTTGTTTCAGTCAGGGCTACAGTGTTCTATGTGATTTCTAAAGCTAATGTGCAACACTAGTCACCTTAAATATGTGTTTAGGTGCAATTTGAAATCAGAAGATCCCAGTGAGATTGAGTGAGAGGATTATGGTTCATAGTCATTTGAACAGGAGCTGAAATTTTATTATGGTTATAGTAATTGGCGGATCTTTTTATTCATTTTTTTTAGTTTGGCACCCACTCAGACTTCATTGCTCATGCTGCAGCAGTAGTATGATGGATTACTGTGTTTTTTCCATTATTATTAAATTTAATTATTTTTGCTCATGTACCCAGATGTGAACAACTTCAAGAGTTCTAATCTAATAATACAGACTGTTTGGAAAATATGTGCTGTCAATTAAAGGCATTTTGTAATAGAAACGATAAAAGAGTCATTAATGAAAAGTAGTTTGCCTCCCTATGTACTAACTTCACTTAATCAAAGGTGCTTTGAAATTGAAATCATTAATTAACTTTACCTGGGTTTGTACTGATCAAGCACTTTCCGAGTTGCTGGAAATTAAGTTCTTCTGTAAACGAAATCAAAACGTGGATTTTTCCAAAGACACTTTATAATTTCCTTCTGAAAATGTATTATATATACATTTCTTCCAGTGTTTAAGCATAAGAAACAGGCAAAGTTAAGCTGTAAAATTGAATTTTTGCACTCCATTTTTTAATGGCACCTCATTTATATTTTACAGGTCACACAATAGATAATGAAATACATCAGTCCAATGTATATATTTTTTTCTTATTTGCCTGTAAAATTTTAACTGGTGCCCTGATGCTCAAGACAAATTTAAAATTAAGACTCTGTAAAAAATTTATTGAGAAACTGAAAAACTATATGATCAAACCCCTGACATGATAGTTCTGCAAATTAATCTTTCTGACAAAGGTGTGCTTCTCACCTCTTTCCAGTTTTCCAGCGTGAGTTTTACACAGAGAGTGATGCAGGTCAGCAGAAAGTGTTGTATTAGCTTCCCTCTTTCTACTGTAGTTCCAGACCAGAATTTCTAGTGGCTGAAAACATCATTGTACCTGCTACATGGTTTTTACTTAATTTTGACAAAATTATTTTTCTGTATTTATAAAGAAGGGGTTTCTTCAGAAAATGTTTTTGGAGCTTTTTTCCACCAGAGGACTATGAGCTTACATTTTAAATTTCGTGGATGTAGAGTCCCAGAGAAGCTGACTTTAGTTGCAGGATGGATTGTGGTGGTGCATCCCCCCCCTCCCAGGGCTCTACTATGATGTAAGAAATGTTTGCTAGTCCTTGGCCTTGATGAAACAGCACCTGGACAAAGCCTCCCTTGAGCTTATCAGAAACACTGTCTGTTCCTGGGAACCAACAGGTGTCTAACGAGTGAGCACCTGGTTTTTAATGAACAGCCCTGGAAACTTATTTTTCTTTCCTGAATAACAACCCAACTGGAATAATATTTTTATTTTAAAGAAAGCTACTGACTCAAATTGCAACCAGGATTGAAAATTATTGACTAAAGTCCACTCTCTGATAATGACCCTGCAAACGGCAGTCCAAAGTGAGACACTTTGAGCTCTGGATTCCCAGAAAATAAGGGGCTAATGTGTATGTCTCAACTGCTGATAATGAGGTGGCTGTGGAGTCAACCAAGGACTGTTAGGAATAATAGACAACAACTGTTGGTAATAACCATGGACTATTGTTATTAACATGCTGTGAGAAAGAACAATATTTGGTTGGAGAACAGGAGCAGGCAGAGATAGGTCAGCACTTTTCCAGGAGAAAGAACCACAACACAGTACAGTGAAAGCACAGGAATGAGGCCAAGAAGTGGGTCTGGACCATAGGGTGGGATTAAGACCGTCAAAGACCCCCAGAGCCCTCTGACCCATTTCCAGAACTGAAAGAGCAGGCTGTGCATGATATCTAATTTACACAGAAAAAGAGAAACCTCTGTTCAGGATGGAGAAACCTATCCATTAAAAGGTATCCCCCGAAGCCCAGGCAGTGTTCCCAGGACCCTGGACATCTCATTGACCAGACTCACACAGATGGATCGATGCTGGTCAGGTGGTTAGATGCTGAAATCAGGTTTCACATCCCCTCAGCTGGATGGATACTGGAACCAGGACTGGTGACGTCTTTTTCTCTCTCTTTTCCTCTTTCTTTTCCTCTTTCTTTTCCTTTTTCTTTCTCTCTTTGTTTCTTTAATTCATGTGTCCCTCTTTAAATTCTCTCTTCCTTTCACCCTACCCCTTTATCCAAAACCCACTGACATGTGCTTATATAGTAGGTCAGGGATTAATATACAAATTTCCATGCTAAGTGTGTAATTCAGTAAATACTATTTGTGAACCCTCTGCTGTTGTTTCTTTTGACCACAAGCATTTAAAAATCTTAGGTGCTTAAGGATGGGTTGTCACAATGGGTTCATATGTTTAAATGTTCATACTAAACTTTTCTTCTTCATAATTTCAGTTGGAGAGGTAAAAACTTTCTTTTTGCTGCAATTTGTCTAGTAAAAAAAATTCACTGATACTCCCTACTCACTAAAGGATAAGCAGCTGAATTACACTTCCAAGTCCAGCTTTTAGTCTGGGAAAGGAAAAAGTAAACACGCACAGAATAGTTACAAATATTACCAGTTGGAGTAAAGCGAAGTTTAGCTATGCATAAATGAATGGCAAATTGAAAATGGTTATGAGAAAAAGAGTCAGAAAATTGATCGCAGGGATACAATCATACATCCTTTACCCAGTAAGGAGTTTTCTGAGGTTTACAATGCACAACTTAAACTACAAAGATCTTCTATTACATAGAAAACACCAAAATGCTTTGCCTTTCCCTGACAGTAATAGGAGTTGAAAGGGCTCAGTGGTATGACAGGGAAAATGTGCACCTTTTATTTCTCAGAGAGTCAATCGTTCTGCAAGGTCACAGGCTGACAATAAAAGATTTTTAAAAGCTTTTGGCAAAAGGGACAAATAAAACGCTTTTCAAAATTTGTGTTCTTTTCAACTGTCACAGCTGTAACATAATAGTAATTGCAATAATTTGCTGTATTTCTACCATGTTGATAACAGGATAGCACAGAGGAGCAATGACAGATACACTCTATAAATGGCCATGCATTTACTGTATGTCTCTGATCTCCATGAGGAATGACAATAATGTTCTGTGTGGGTAAATAAACCTGACTGTCTATAACCTTGGAGTCTTTGGAGATGAGTGGTTGATCTTGCTAGATTTACAGTGAAGAGGCATTTCAGTCATTTTAATAATTTTTTTTAAAGTTAAGGTAATATTGGATTTTCACTACAGAACTCCATAAAATGACTTTAAAAAGATACTGCAAAACTATTATTGACCATTAAGTACTTATAAGAATTTCTGTACGCCTTTCTACATTCCTTACTATTTGGCTGTCTTACTACAAAACTCTGCAAAATTTCTTCATAAAATTACATAATGTAGCTGTAATGATAAAAACATGTGGTATGACTGACCATATTCACACACATGTATGTTTAGCACAGCTTGACTATGATCTTAACTGGAAAGAGCGTGTTACTGAAAGCCATGGTAATCTTAGCTGTGATTACTGATATTATTAGCCATGTCTTTTTCCGTTTTTCAGAATAGGCATATCATTAGGGTGACGTATCAGCTCTCATTATGTCAATATGTCAGATTATACAACATAAGTTATTGTGATATGACAAACCTGGTAGGACTGAATAAGGAAGGACTTGTTAATACAGTATAAAAGTTTCCAGTATTTCTACTCTGTTGTAAGTATGTCCTGTTGTATTGAAACCCAATATAAACTGATACTTTTATTACTTGCCAGCACATGTAGGCACTTGCTAGTCTCCAACCTTTTCTGTGCACTGTGAGATATTTCCCTGGTGGATCTTTTCTATGCTGTGCACAAGGAGAACTAGAAACTCTGAATCATAAATCCCCAACTCTCCCTTTTCATGCTTATATGGGTCCCCCTATTCTGTACCAAAGGATAGCCCTGAACAAACATCCTCCAGCATTTTTTCTGAAACTGTATTAAACTGAACATCCTCTAGTAGGTTTTTCCTGAAGATGTTTTAGACTTCCTAGGGTTTTTGTCTTGGATTTGGTTTTGTTGGGTTTGGGAGTTCTTGTTGTTGTTTTTCTTGTTTGTTTGTTTGTTAGGTTTTGTTTGGTTTGGTTTTTCTTTTTCATTGGGTTCAGTCCATTCCTTCCCAGAAGGCTAACATGTTACAGATACAGGTAGAATGTGGAATCCAAAGAAATAGGAACTCTAATACACCTTCTCTTCTAAGGCACATTTCCGAGCAGGCCTTCTTCTTCCTAACACTGTTATGTCTCCAGATAACTAACAGTAGCCCTTCATACCTCATTAGGACAAGTTCCTGAAAGCATTTGAACCATTCGGATTACTGGAATCAATAGCTAAATGCAAGTAGGAGGCAACAGAGAAGACATATTAAAAATCAAAGCAAGAAGAGCAAAGTAACCAAGAAGGATGCTGTCACACTTTACAGGGGTGTTTTGGTTTACATTTTAGCTGTTTCATCCATAACTGAAAAATGTGCCAAAGATCAAATGCTAAAGATAAATAACTATTTGATTGTGTAGAAGCAAATAATGACTGCCAAAGCTTAAGGGGACTTCTTCAAGCCGCCAACTGTGAATGCATTGCTATTATAAAAGAGTAAAAAACTTGATTCAGCCAAAAGTAATTTGACAGAAAGATGATGAAAAGATAGTCTACAGGATAGACTTAGTAGCAAAGGTTTTATGGTAGCATAACCTGAATTAAGTGTAGTTAACAATCAATTTGCAAGTACAGTGTTTCGGAGAGATTCATGGACTTTATATACATTCTTAGCCATGTTTTGTTCCTCAACTTCACTAGTGGTACAGGTGAAAGTAAAAAATGACTGACAGTAAAATCTGAACTCGAGTGTTTGAAATTCATCATTTATGACCTACATATAATCAGGCAAGAAATGGATATCACCAAACACCAAATCAGACCTTATATAGACTGAACAGTCTTCTTGAGCTGCTTTTCCTCTCTGTCATTAATTATCTGTCTAAAATTCAGAGTCATAAATCCAAAGGTCTACATTCAAGCCTGTATTTTTGGGAAAGGCTGAAGTGTCAAGCCATTGTACTTTGCACTGTAAAGTCACCAGTTTCTTTTTGGAAATACAAAAAATTGCTTTAAAAAGTATTTTAACAAAATAAAAACAACAGTATGTAAGGTATGGAAAAATCTTCCCTATGAAGAGTTACAATCTACCTATCTATTGAATGTATTCAAGAGAATTTCAAGTGTTAATTTTATCATGGCTAATGAGTACCTAAAGCATGAGAAGATCTTCTGCTAAAAAGGGCTTCTCAATGTAGAAAGAGTCATTCTAAGAACCAGAAGCTGGAGTCCAACTTCAAATATATTTAGACAAGAGAGAATGCCCTTGCTTTATAGAAGAAAAGGTAAGTAAGTATATATAAAACCAGCGACCAATCAAACCCTTTGTAGTGTTCTACCATGTTCCAAGCCATCATTTGAAGACTTTAAATCAATATCTGTCATCATTCCTTAAAATGTGCCATAATATAAATTTTCACCAGTACCACAGGATTTACTGAATTCTGCAACCTGTGTTATGCAGCATCTTACATTAGGTGATTCATATTGTCCTTAAAAATACATATTTTTAAAAATCTATAGCCCATATACTATATGAAAAGATCCTGATCTCTAGTGAAAGCAGTTAAAGTAGTTAGTTAGAACCACTTGTTATAAACACAAATTTCCCAAACTGCCTGCTAAGGGGAATCTACAGCTGCTGCAAGTTTATTTCCTCCTGCTACTGCTCCCTCTGACAGAAACTCCTTTGCTCATGTACATGTTTTGACAGGTGGCATTTTTTTTCCCACTTTCTTACTCATGAGTAGGGTTGGTAATCTCTTTTGCTGGCCTGTGTTTTGCCCCAGTTCAGATTCTCTCTCTCTGCCTCACCTATTTTCTGTTGTTGCATCCAAAAAGAGAATCTTTCCGCTGAATGAAAAAAATAAGGAATTTACTTAGTACTTTTTGGATCAGATCACGAAAGGAGGAAAAAAAAGGCGTTTTTAAAATTAATTAAAA